GTTATTCGTGTTTTAAGGAGAGCTACAGAAAGAGTCAACAAAGAAACAGTCAACAAATGAACGCCATCAGGCACTTAGAGACAAACATCTCTTAAGAAAAACCCATTCTTGGGGCGCCTGGGTGGCGCAGTCGGTTAAGCGTCCGACTTCAGGCAGGTCACGGTCTCGCGGTCGGTGAGTTCGAGCCCCGCGTCGGGCTCTGGGCTGATGGCTCGGAGCCTGGAGCCTGTTTCCGATTCTGTGTCTCCCTCTCTCTCTGCCCCTCCCCCGTTCATGCTCTGTCTCTCTCTGTCCCAAAAAGAAATAAACGTTGAAAAAAAAAAATAAAAAAAAAAGAAAAACCCATTCTTGCCAAGTTAAACAATAGCCCAAACTCTTTGCTTTTAAACATGGAAGGAAAGAATGAAGAATCATACCCATTTGTCTTCTTTTATGATATCACTCTGGCACCTGCGTTCGCAAGGAAGCAAATAACATATTGTGTTGTACTATTTGTTCCAAAGGTCTTAGAAAGAAGATTATTATGAAAAAACCAACAAACCAACAAACCACATTTACTGAATTGGAGATAAATATTGCTTGTTATATAAAATGCCTTGAGGGGTGAAAATTGTTTCTGTTTTAATGGTGCTAAACATTAGAATGGATGCCTGGTCAACTATATATAAAAATTACCATTTTTTTTTTTAATTTTTTTTCAACGTTTATTTATTTTTGGGACAGAGAGAGGCAGAGCATGAACGGGGGAGGGGCAGAGAGAGAGGGAGACACAGAATCGGAAACAGGCTCCAGGCTCCGAGCCATCAGCCCAGAGCCTGACGCGGGGCTCGAACCCACGGACCGCGAGACCATGACCTGGCTGAAGTCGGACGCTTAACCGACTGCGCCACCCAGGCGCCCCCCAAATTACCATTTTTTATTTAATATATGCCTAATGGTACCTGACATTTTAGTTATACTTTTTGTAAGGCAGAGAAGTTTAATAATACTGGTTAGTATTATTGTTCTCTGCATAAAATTTTCACTGGCTACTCCACAACTTGCTAAGCTTTTGGATAACAAATGGGAAAATATCACACCACAGGCAATATTTATCCATCCAACAGGCAAAACAAGAAAATGGAACCCAGGCCTAGAATCCTCTAGTGTTACTCAATCAAGGCAAATTATTTATTTCTTCTGTCCAGGAGTCCCATGGGGCATGAAATATTGATTTAGGAATTTGCCGGGCATGAGTATCTGTGTTGTAACTACGTTCTTTTAGATCGCTTAATATATAAGTTGTTTCTATGTATGCTGTGATAAGACCAAAGAACAAATTAAATCTGGCTACTTAATAAACATGAATTAATAGACGCTAAACTCTTTTTCTAATTCTAATAGCTTGGGGTCATTGAAGTTCACTCCATGGTGTGCAGGATTGCACAATGCATTGTTCATATGCGTGCCTAGCTTCCTCTCTCCCTTCATCTTACAACCGCATAGCCTCTGCTACATGTCACAGGAGCTGATGCCAATCTTTCTGCAAGTGGGACGTGGACAGCCTGTGTGTTCTTCCTGGTTAACCTGGGGCCTCTGAAAGCCAAGACACAGGGGGCCCTAGATACTGGAGAGAGGCTAAAGATGGGCCCAGAGGAAGTTTGCAGTGTGGAGAAGAGCAAGGATTCTTCATCATCTGAGCAGAAGAGTAAGAGTCTGGAGCAAGTGAGGAGAAAAAAAACCAAACAAGCCAAGAAGATATAGAATAGTCATTTCATCAGCTAAAAAGCTTTGCTCTGTATCATTCTACGTGTCCATAAAATACAAAACATTAAAGGGGTCTCATATTAATGCATAGCCTTAATATTTGTTTCTGTGCTCTACTGATTTGGTACTTACCACGTAAGATCAGCCATAGTAGTTACTAGCAAGACTCTGGTGGAGTCAGACTGCCTGGGTTCTAGTTCAGCCTCTGCTACTTGCTAAGAATGTGACCTTACCTCCCTTAGCCTCAGTTTCATCTTTAAAAGGAGGGTAACAAAAGTACCTCTCTTGTAAGATTATTGCAAAGGAAAATAAGATACAGATACATAATATATGATACATAGGCATCTCTATGTTCTTATATGATACATAGGTATCTCCCTCTCTATGTTGTTACCTAATATATCATATCTCCATTTTTTTTTCGTTTTTTTAATTTTTTTTAATTTTTTATTTTCGGGACAGAGAGAGACAGAGCATGAACGGGGGAGGGGCAGAGAGAGAGGGAGACACAGAATCGGAAACAGGCTCCAGGCTCCGAGCCATCAGCCCAGAGCCTGACGCGGGGCTCGAACTCACGGACCGTGAGATCGTGACCTGGCTGAAGTCGGACGCTTAACCGACTGTGCCACCCAGGCGCCCCTCATATCTCCATTTTTATTTCTATGTTATAGTCACTTTAAACAGGGCATGACATACATATAAATCAATAACATTCAGTAGAATTATCAAATTTACTGTTGTTTTATAGTTGCTGTTGAACTTTTCACATCTGTAGGCCTTGTCTCCCTTGCTATTTATCTATAAGCCCCCCGAGGGTTGGAAAGCAATTTTATATTTTGTGGTGGTTCAATATATTTTGTTGACCCATATTTTGGGTATTTACCCTCCGGGTTTCAGTTCACATGATTTAGTGGCAGGTGAACCAGGCCTGGCCAATCATCTCGACTGAGGGAAGGTATGTGACTCAAGCTTGGATATGCAAGCCCTTACCAGAAAAGGCTTACTGATGTCTGAGATGCCTGTCTTTAGGGCTGTGTAAATCGGGAACACTGGGGGTGGCCATCTTTGCCTCCTCTGGGGAAATCCTGAGGAACTCAGGGTCATTAGATCTAGAAAGATGGCCCCTGAGGACATGGTTTAGTCTCCAGATTCAATCTTGCCTCGGAGGAGTGCTCTCTGGATCTTCTGATTTTATGAGAAAAAAGAATGAGGAAAGTGATTCTGTCTTTAGTTTATTTAAATTAGTTTGTATTGCGTTTGCTACCAAATTATACTAATATATATTTTCAAATACACTTGGTCTGTGTGATTCTCTTTGATATCACTGACCTTATTTATATAAGGTCCTATACAGAAGAAAACCAATATATATTACATGTATGAATGAGTTATAAAATTTAAAAATTTTCAAAATTCATAAGCCCATTAATCTCCTATACATTATCATACTGTTCTAGGTAATCAAGTTCAATTTAAATGTGACTTTTTTTTTAAAGTTTATTTATTTTGAGAGAAAGAGAGAGAGAGAGCGCGCATGCGTAGGAGCACGCAAGCGGGGGAGGGGCAGAGAGGAGAAACAGAATCCCAAGCAGGCTCTGTGCTGTCCCTGCAGAACCAGAAGTGTGGCTGGAACTCACAAACCTTGAGGCCATGACCTGAGCGGAGATAGAGTCAGATGCTTAACCCAATGAGCCACCCAGAAGCCCCTAAATGTGTCCTGACAAAGAAACAAATTCTTTTGTAGGAAAACACATGATGTAGCCCTGAGTATGGTGCTGGATGAACTAGACTGCTGGAAAAACAATTTGGGGAGACCAGAAATTTAGCATGGGAACAACTGAGTTTCTCTGAGTACAACTAACTTCATGGTCAGTTCAGTTCCTTAACCTCCCTCAGCACCATTCTTCATGCACAAAATTGGAAAAATAATACCTTACGGGGTTGTTGTTAGACTCAAAGGAGCTCATTGATCTGTGACCTAAGAACGACACAAATTTTTTTTTTGAATTATTTTTTCAGATACTCCTATTTCAATTGGTGGTGGACACATGCCTCCCAAATCATGAGCCTTCACGTGTTTAAAATTGTTTTTCTAGTCAAATGCACAAGAGGAGGCACATTTCTGAAGGATGTATGTAAAAATGGGCTATCATGTCTGGGTCTGGAATGTGACCTTTGGGGAAAATCTCAGTGTCGTCTTCTGTAGAAGGAAGAGTTCCACTCCCACGTTATCCCCAAGAACCCCTTGGGGGTTCAGTTTTGCCATCTCGGGACTCCAGAGGACAGAATCGGTGCTCTGCTTAAGACGAGGTTCCTGGCAGGCCCTTGGGTCATCCCTGCAGCTCAGTACCTGTGAGCTGCCACTCCTCCGGTGTTTTTGGTGGGCGTGGCGACAAGCACCTGCTCTCAGGCTTTCCTTGAATCTCGCTCCAAGCCTTACGTTTTAACGGTGTAGCTCTGCAGTCTCCTAGCTAATCCCTCAAGGTTGCTTTATGAGATCCGGTTTCAATCCCCCGGTGGGTAGCTCTCAGGTCCCGTTACAATTCTCCAGAGCTCAGCGTGTGTGCAGGAGGGACAGAGCCAAGGAGAGATCGAGTGAGGGGACGAGGCTCCCGGGCTCCTGTTACCGGCTGCACCGGCCCCCGCCCCGCGCAGCCGAGTGCGCGGCGGGGCCCGGGAGCGCCGCGGCCCCTTTAAGAGCCGGGCCCAGGCCGGCCCCGGGGCCGCGGGAGCCCAGAGCGCCGCGCGCCGCCGAGGAGTTGGGATCCGGCGCAAAAGTTTCCTCCCAACTCCGGCCCCGCGCGCCGCCGCCGCCCACTCCAGCCCGGGGCCTGGAGTCGGCCCCGCAGCCGCCGCCGCCGCCAGGGCCGGGGCCAGGGGGCAGGGCCAGGGCCAGAGCTGGCCCGGCAGTTTCGCTTTGGCGGGCTCGGAGCAGCCGCCTTGTCCGGGCCCGAGCAGGAGACGGAGCAGGAGGAGGAGGAGCCCGGCCACAGTGCAGCCGCGTCCCCGGGCACCAGCTACCTGGGAGGTAGCCCTTCCCGCAGCCGCCCCCTTCCCGGATTGCCGCCCGCCCCGGGGCCGCCTGCGCCGGGAGGAGGGGCGCTGCCGCGAACCCCGGGCCCTGAGGGGGCGCGGGGGAGAGGTGCTCCGGGTCTCCGGACCCCCCTGCGCCGGGCGAACCCCCAGAGTGTGGGCTGCGCCCGTGGGGCCGGACACCTGTTCGGCCGGGCCCGGCGTGGGCGCCGGGGGCCAGGATGAAAGTGACCGTGTGCTTCGGCAGAACCGGCATCGTGGTTCCCTGCAAGGAGGGCCAGCTGCGCGTCCGGGAGCTCACGCAGCAGGCGCTGCAGCGGTACCTGAAGACCAGGGAGAAGGTGAGCGCTGGGGCGCGGAGTGGGGGCGCGGCTGTGGGGCGGGCTATCCGTGAGCACACCAAGGCCAAGGCACCTGCCAGGTGCCCCAGGACCCGGTGGCGACGCGCAGAGGACACAGCACGCAGACTTTATTGGAAGCTACCTGTGCCCGCCAACTTTCGTTGCTAGTATAAGTGACCTGGATGTCTTTGGGCGTTTGTGGGCCTTGCTTCTCAAAGGGTGCTGGGAGGCAACGCTGCATGGGAGTCCCTTGGGGGCTCGCTACAAATGCACAGTCTGATGCCCTCCTCCAGGCCCACTGCCTCTGAATCTGCTTTTAAACAAGCTCCCAGGTGATTGGAATGACTGTTAAAGTTTGAGAAGCACAGCTTTAGGTGTTTGAGAAAACGCTTCTCAAGGGAGTGCTGGAAGGTGCTGCTCAGTCAGGTGTGAATTTTGACCCCGGCTAAGGCCCGCCCCACTTTTGCTCCTTGGAGTTAGAAAGTTGATTGGTGCTAGCAACAGATACTCGGAAGTTACAACTGATGGAGCCCTTGGAATTTAATTTTGTGAGCTGTTCTCCATCAGTGACTGGGGCAGGAACTTACGTAGAAGGATGCTGTTTGCTTACACTAAGCCGTCCACCTTTTGAGTGTCTTTAGTTTAATGCCACATATTCTAGGAGTGTTTACTAGTGTGTGCGCTGTGTCAGATCCTGGGTGACTGTTGATATAGTCATAAAGATAGTTCCCAGATCTGTCCCCGAAATCAGATATACGTAAAAGTTAAGTGATTAATACTTTTAAGTGTGCAATACGTGTTCAGAATTGGATGCTAGAATTCATATTAGCTGTTTGGGTAACATACTGGGACTCTGTCTCTTCTTCAATGAAATCTTTTAATGAAGGCTTCAAAGAGCACCTTTTAATTCTTTGAATCTTCAGCTGGAACATCAGGCTCTAAATTCTCCTCAAATAGGACAAGTCATGAACTCTTGCTTTAGGTGTCAGTGGCTCTCAATATTTGTTTTCATGGCGTGAGAACTATATAAATGGCCTATAGAAGTATATGAGTATCTACCCCATTTCCCCCCATTGTTTCAAAGTGTATGCTGTTCTGTGTTGTGTAATTCAGTTAAAAACTGATTTTTGCTCAAGTAACCAATCCTCCTCCTGAACTTCTGAAAGGAAGCCTCTGAAAGTGAGCTAAGGTTAATAGTAACTACACTAACTTCTGAAAGTAAGCTAAGGTTAATAGTAACGACATTATTCTAGACACATTATTCAAGTAAATGTCATTGAAAGATTATCTTAATGAGGTGATAAACTTATTTTTATTTTTAACTCAGTATTTAAAATAATTTATGCTCTAACATCTTGTATATTTGGAAGTTTAGTATGTGGAGCTGTCCAAGCAAGTAATAGAAGAAGTAAGCTACATACTTATAAATGACATGCAGGGTAAATTATTTGAAATTTACCTAATTCATCTAGATAAACTAGATGAAATTTGGTGCACTTATAATTTGATCTTAAAAGGTGTTAAAAAGCTATTGATATTCTGTACTGAAAGCATAATTTATGATATCAGAACCTATAATGTAATTGTATTGATTAATTTACTATTACCAGTTATTACATTTTTCTGTGTTTACACTTCTATATTAGCACATAGGACATTTAAAGGTCACCCACAGTTTATAAGTTCTCCCTCCCTTCTTTGGCTTTTAAAATCTCAATTTAGTAAGTGGCAAGTGATATTTTCTCTCTCCCTAAATATCTCTCTCCCATAGTTTCATTTTAAATAGCATTGTATTCATAACAAGGCTTAACTAATATTAAATGGGATTCCTAATGGAACTAAAATGTCAAGAAATAATCTAACAAATTCCATGCTTTCATTCACTGAATTTAGAAAATAATGGGAAAAGACCAGAAATGTCAAAATTCAATTTGAAAAACAACTTGTCACAAATTCACTTTCTTTAAATCAGTGAAAGAAATTTAAAAGGCTTGCTCCCCTGGACAGCAAGATGTTTAGCCTTGCACTCAGCAATAAAAACATAATAACTAACATGAATTAGACTTACTGCTGCTATGCAGGCACTGTTGTAAGAACTTTACATATGTTAAATGACTTCATGAGACAGGTCCTAATATTTTCTTTTTACAGCAGGGAAAAAAGAGACACAGAGATATGACAGATGCATGGTCGAATTGAACCCAGGAACTGAGTCTGTAGGTCCTTACTCATAGTCACTAACTGCACTGCCCAGTAGGTTATTGTGCATTGGAATGTACCCATCTTATTTATTTTTTACAGTTTTTTTTTTCTAAAAGACCATTCCATCTATAAACTGCTATGATCACCTATCAACCTAAAGAGGGGAATTTTATTTCTTGCAGAGAGTTGTGACATGCACAAGTTCCTCTTGATTGTATCTTATGCAGTACAGGTCTACATGTATTGGGAAGAAGTCTAATTTCTGAGCCTAATATTGCAGGATTTGCAAGTCAAGTATGAAAAACATTCCTTAGTCTGATTACAGATGGAAAAATGGGCAAAATCTCTTAGATATTCAGGTGGAGAGTGCTAGAAAGAAAAAATTGGTGGGAACATGAATATAAATTAAGCCCATTTCTTTCAGGGCCTTGAATAATTTAGATGGGAGAAAGGCAGATTTCAAGATTGAGGGTAGAGGTGAGGTATCTACAGTTTGGAGGGTAAGTGAAGCCATGAGGCCATTCTGGATTTTGTGGACAACATGTGAGAAGTACCAAACTTCTGCTGAGAACAAAGAAGACTGGTATTTGTGGAATGTGGGGAACCAGCTGAATCAGCATCAGATAAAGCCAGAATTGGGTAAGATGTTGAGGACTGTGAGGGGACTTTTGGGAAGGCTTTAATTATGTTTTGAAATCTGGGACTTTGAGTTTCCTATTGCCCCCTTCTCCCCACCCTGCCATTTGATGAACTTGACGGGGAAGGTGAATTGACTAAGGGGCAAGAATTATGGGGTTGCTTGTCTTTGGATCCTCGTAGTTTATCAGTGTCCCAGGCTCTAAATCCAATTTACTTAAGTAGTTAGTGGAGAGGAGATTGTCTTCTCATGTAGTTCAAGGTGGAGATCATTGAGTAACTAGTTAAATTTATCATCGAAATTACGTGTCACAGGTGAATGGGTAATTGAGCCGTATCCTGCAGGGGCTCTCAACCCTGGCTGATCATTAGTTACCTCTAATTTATCATTCAACATTTTAAATAATACAAATGCCCAAGTCCCTTTCTCCAAGATTCTACTTCAGTAGGTTTAGAGTGGAGCCTGGGCATAGGTGTTTTAAAAAGATGATTTTAATGCCCAGCTTGGGCTGAGAACTACTAATCTACTGAAATCATCTGGTAAGGCTGAACTCATTTGCTTTTAAACTCTTTTGATAGCAGATCCTGTGTTTTAGACCTCTCCAGATCAACCTATCATTAGCAATCGTCTCTCCTGCCATGAATGAAGTCTCATGGCAGGGTTCAAATAATTTATTTAATTGACCATTTATATATATATATATATATATAAATTTCATACACCCACATGCAAACTAAATGAGGTTGAAGTGAATAAGGGAAAGACTTGTTTAGTAATGAGAATGTATAGTGTGTTTATGAGTCAAAATGAATGAGATAATGTGAACATTGAGGTCATGGGATAGTGGGTATGCTGGAATTTTAAGCTGATTTGTGGATTTGACTGTAGGAGAATTTTTTTTTTTTTCAGTAAAGAAACATTTGATACATTTGCCAGAAGGAGTCTCTTCTGTGTCCAGATATTTTGAATTATTTCTTTTACCCTTGAGACCAGCTTCCCAAATCTGAGCAAGATAAGAGTAATAATTCTGTTTTCTGATAAATTGTGGGGTCAGCATCTAAAAACTTGTACAGTGACAAGAATCTGGTATATGGGCCTAACTGGAGGAATAGGCTGGAAATCCTGAATTCTTGAACTTTTTTCAGTTTTTGATGTCTTGTTTCCAGATTTTAAGGTTCCTGTATACATAAACTAGGACCAGAGTGGATTCCTAAAATGCTTTTCAATTTTTTGGGCACTGATGTACTGGAGTGCTTCATTTCCTATTCATTCATTTCCTCTCTTCTCCTACTATGTGGACTCGATGTTTGTCCCCAGCTGTTTGTCCCCAGCATGTGGATAGGACTGACTCACCACCAGCAGGGTGCATGCTGCTAACTTGCTTTTGGTTCTTCACTTGACCTGCATAGAGCAGCCTCTGAGTTCACAGACACAGGGCTGGTGGGGCCCGCTGGGACCCACAGACCTGGTTTTTCAATTCTGCTCAGTTTCACATTTTGACTGAGTTGCCATGTTTAAATATTTTGAGACTTCATGCAAAGATCCAGATTTCTGTCTTCTCTGGGCGGAAAAACAAATCGGAAGCTCTGACTGCATTGGGCTTTACTTTCCCACATAGCAACCATCAGTTGGAAACGAGACATCCCTCTTCTCTTTAAGCAGGAATCCTTCTGCTCTCTGCTCCATTATGGCCTCCCCAAAAGTATGTTACTACCTCAGGCTTACCTTTTTACTCTGTTGTTATTTTCTTTTTTATGGCCCATGTAAGCCATTGTTGCCCTTTGGCCTGCTGTAGGTATTTGAGTTTGTGGCCCCCGGACCTTCTCTTTTCCATTACACCTCTTTCTCTTCCCTCGTGTACCTCTCTCTGTCCTGGCTACACCTCTCCCTCTCCTCCTCCCCCACACCTCTCTTGCTCCCATCCCCACGCCCCTCCCCCACCCATACTCCCACCATGACCTACATATAGGGTTTGCTGACCGGGATTTGGGCTGCAGTAATCGCTTCATGTTGGGAGCCACAGCCCTGATTTGTAGTTTGGAGCGCTGTGCTCAAATGGCTTAGTTAACCAAGTATTTATCCCATTCCCAGGGCATTCTGTGGCATAGATCCTCTGTGTGGAGGTTGGGCAAATGGTAATGTCAGATTTTTATGAGACTAT